GATATGGATCAAAGAATCAATCGATACTTATCATAAAATGAAAGGCTAGCATGTTTATAGAAGACTTTTCTAAATTGATTTCAATATAAATAATCGAATATTTTTAGGACTACCAAAGAGCATTATTCATCGTTTTGATTTTTTCAATAGAGAGAAATCATTTCTAGACTCCAAAAACTATACATTACACTGTTCGTACTTGTTCAAAGGATTAAATATCTGTAATTTCGAAGACCTATATTCCTTTCTAATTCATTATGTATGTAGAACTACTACTATCGTTATTGTAAAAATGAATAGGCGATTTTAGTGAAATATCAATCTATTAACATACCATTGAATGAACTTGAAAGTGAACTTGCAACAGGACTACCATATATACCAGGTTGATTATTTGTATTAACTAAAATCAAATATATATAGTCAAAAAAATTATATTTCTTTTTGTAAAATTCATTACCTGGTATCGGCATCTGTTGTGGATACATTCGAAGTCCAGGTGATCCAGTTGGTTGTCGTGTATTAGACATCATCATACTTGGATCAAGAAATGTTGGTGATGCAGCAGCAAAAAATGGAAAATTAACTGAAGAAAAAAACAAAACAATTAGCAATTCATGAAAGAAAATCAAAACTATCTTTGATTTATATACCTGGTGTTTGTGTTGTACGTTGCATATTAATATATTGTTGAGGTTGTTGATTAGGTTGTGATGTACTCAATATATCACCTGAATTTGTTGGTGTTAATGGCCGATTATTATTATTCGTCTTTGATTGTGGTGAATGTTGTTCATTATTTGATTGTTGTTGTTGTTGTGGTAACATTGCTTGTGGTGGTGGTGCTGGAAAAACGACAGCAGCTGGCAATGCTGACCAATATTGTGGTTGACCAAGTAAAGATGGAAGTGTTGCTGGTGATTGATGAAGACTTTGTAATTGTTGTAAATAATTATCTTGATTACCATTAATTATATATTGATTTGATGATGAACCATATGGTGATTGTTGATTAGCTGACTGTTGTTGAGCAGCCATTGCATTTGAAAGCCATGACATAAGTGGAGTTTGTGCTAAATTAGCTAATTGATGATCTTGTTGATTGTTTCCATTTGTTTGCGGATTAAACGCTGTCATTATTGATTGACTTTCATAACTATAAAAAAAAGTAAATTCATTGTATCATATAGGAATTAAAAAACTAAATGATACTTACGATTGAGGTTGAATTAATGTATAATCAAATGTTTGAAAATTTGATGATGATTGATTCATATCATAATTAGCAGCTTGTTGTTGTTGAAGCAATTGATATTGGGCTTGATAACTAAATTAGAATTTTTTCGTATTATTCAATGAGTCCGAAAAAATTAAAATAGACATAGTTTCCAAGTCGATTTCTAGAGATTCGATAATCAGATTACAATAAGGAAAACAAATACTTTTTATAGCAATAGCTACATTGTTTGTGTACGTTAAAGAAATAAAGACATGATTAATCTGTATTTAATGAGATACTTATGAAAAGATCAAGCATATAAGATGTCCTTTTCTGATATAAATTGCAAAAGTTTATTGTTCTGAGACGATTTGTTGGTTTTTATATAAATCTATAGAGAAACATCTACGTTTTCCTTTTACATCATTTTTACTCTTTTTAACCTCATCTGTGCATTCAAAACCTTTTCAATCTATAATAGTTTTTCGAAGAAAGAAATCGTACACATCAATAGATTTCACGGTTGAAATGTCTACTATTTTCTTTTTATATTTTTCTTAGCTTACGCTTGTTGCTGCTGTTGTTGATAGAGTAACATTTGTTGTTGTTGCTGCTGTTGTTGTTGCTGCTGCTGCTGCTGCTGTTGCTGTTGTTGTTGTTGATTATTAGCTTGCATCCGTTGAAAAGGTATAGGTACGGATGCTGTTTGCATACCATTCATCATTAAATGTGATTCATGTATTCCACTATCATTTGTATCATCACCGGGACCCATTGTATTTGTTGTAGGAAGATTTTCATTATTAGTACCATTTGATAAATCTTTAGTTGTACGACCAGGTGATGGACGTGGTGATGGTTTCCGATTTGCTTCAATTTCTCCTGTTGTATCATCAGTTTTACCATCATAACCACCAGTTGGACTAATAACAGCTTTTTTAGTATTATCACTGTCATTCTAAATAAAAAAATATTTATTAGAATAGTCGAGATGATAAATGTATTTTATATAGCATTAATCG